CCTATTTTTTTGCCTGTTTGATCTAAATTATCTCTGGAAGTATTTATCCGATCAAGGAATGATATATATCATTCGAATTGTCTAATTTTTGCTGATTTTTGGTGAAAAAATGGTATTAATGTCATATGCACTTTAAGTAGCTAATACATTATATGTATTGCAATGTATTGCTAGAAATTCCCAAAACATTCATTTGTCATTGAAAACGTTGACAACCAAATCAATAAGCTGGTGTCGTATATATAAAGCACTAGCCACTAGGCAAAACGTTCATGTTATAACTTCAATAGTAACACAGTCCTTAGTTTAATATATTAAATACAATATTTATTTACTGCCAGGGGCGTAGCATGACCTTTTTAACTGGGGGGGTGTAACATCTAAGTTTTACCGACCCACGCGCCACGAGGCGCCACCATGGTTGGCGCTGAGCGGAAAATTTTTGAAAATATGGAGTCTCTAGATCGTTGGAAATGGCATTTTCAGAGCCTTCTGTACCTTATACACACAAGGTTTGGTAGCTTTTATTTATATCAAACAAAACCATATTGTTGAAGTTGTGTTATTTTCGAAATCCGTGAGAATCCGTCAGATATTAACAAGCTGTGAGACTGTGAGTGTGAGCTCACCGTGAGGTTTTATTAGAATCCGTGATCAATTCTTTTGCGTATCATTGTATCAAGGTCAAAGTTCGCGCACAGTTGAACATGTCCAATCAGAACCGACTGTTATCGCAGCTCTTGCAAGTGTAATACGATAGGAAATTAGGGGCTCCAATGCTTATGCGTAGATATTTAATATAAGTGTTTTAATACTGAAGAATTACGTACATTTTGCATAACTTTATTGGAGAACAAGGCACAACATTAATTTAATTTTTTTTGATTATTAAAAGCCATTTACCGAGGAGCAAAATTCCACTTTAACCGATTTGTTTTACCGACCGCTGTCATGGCTCTTGCCATTACCGAATAACTTCGCGTTTTACCGACTACCTCACTAAAACTGGGGGGTGTCACACCCCCCCACACCCCCCCGCACGCTACGCCCCTGTTTACTGCCGTTGATCGAAGGAACATGGACGTTTTGCCTCGTGCTCTATATTTATATGACACCATCCTGCATGTTGGTTGTCAACGTTTTCAATGACAAATGAATGTTTTGGGAATTTCTAGCAATACATATAATATATTAGCTACTTTATTTAAACATATTTCTGATGAGAATGAGTTTGCCCTAAGAGCGTACACATGCACCAGGGACGCCGGAACTGGGGGGGGCAGGGGGGGGCGGCTGCCCCCCTTGCCTTTTGCTAGGGGGGGGCAGGGGGGCAGAAGTGCCCTTTTAGTTGTAAAATAATACGTGATAAATCACATTTCCAACGATGCTTTTTGTAGGAAAATCACGAGATTCAGGTAATTGATAGTTTATTTTTATAAAAAATTTTGGAAATTTTTGGAATTTAGAAAAATATTTTGAAGAAATGGCGAAAATTTAAGATATCCGGAAAAATTTTTGGCTTCACGGAGAATTTTTGTATGTCCGGAAAATATTTTTGACCCCTAAAATGGTACACTGACCGAAATTTTTTTGGCGACGGGGGGGAGGTCGCCAAAAAATTTTGCAGTGAAAAAAAATTTTTCAGTAAAGGTGCCCTTGGTGTGCGTCCGCCCCCCTTTGCCCTATTATCGTTCCGGCGTCCCTGGTACACACTCATCAAGGGGGCTTACTTAATAATACTGTTATTCTGAGATCTCGCGCGTGCACTTTTACTGTAGGCTGCAGTCATTGTCATATACAAAACAGCCTCCAAATTACTAAAACGTCTTTCAAAGTTCAAAAAAACCGAGTAAGTCTAGTAAAGAAATCCATGAAAAATTTCCCAAATCCACGAGAATTCGTATTGTAATAAATACGGATGAACTTTATAATTCCTCTAAATTCCTACATGGCGCCGTTTCATACAATTGCAAGTCAAAATAACCATATGCAAACATATTATTCAAGTAATAAAAAAGATAGCAAAATTAAATATTGGTTATTGTTCAACTAAATTTAGAATAGAGTCACAGGTACATAGTACGGCAGAATATTGAAAACGAAACTGAAATATAGTACATGCGGCAAAAGCCTCGAGCGAAACTTCGTTTGCACGTTTACAAACAAGCAATACTCATGCATTTGATATTCTGTACCGCCCGACATAATATATTTATCCTTGCCCATGAGAAAAATTATTTAAAAAAACAACAATACAAGTAAAAAGTAAAGATCGTAACCATCTATCACCCCGAATTTAATGCGAAACACGTGAATTTATAGAGAAACACGTGCGTTGCTTCATAGCTCGTATTCCAGCGTGTTCCGGGTGGAGTTCCGGGTGTTTCGGGTAGGGTTCAGGGTGTTCCGGGTAGGGTTCCGGGTGTTCCGGGTAGGGTTCCGGGTGTTCCGGGTGGGGTTCCGGCTTTTACAGACACCCGATAAAATACACTTGCTTATGCAGGGTGTCCTAAAAAAAACCAAAACTATTGAAATAACGTATTGTTAGAATTTGAATGCCTCAGCACTAAGCTGAACCCCCACAAGTGCATAAAAGCTTGACATAAGTAAGCGCTTTAAAAGATATCTTAATACTAAGTCAATATTTATAATATATGCACCCTGTCAATATTTTACGCATCTTTGCTTTCAGCTTAGTGCTAGGGCATTCAAATTCTAAAGCCCGCCGCACACGAGAGCAACTTGCTGAGCTAACCGCCTCGTGTGGCAGCTAGCTCAGCTATGTATTTTCACCGCACATGTTGGGAAAACTACTCAACAACAACATAAATGACAAAATCATTTGCATTTTCCGCCATTTTGTTCCAAGTCACATGAAGAAACTATGGTTTGTCATTGGCTAATTGATTCAAACAGCGCAGCGGAAAATATCAAATACGATAGATATTTTCCTCAAGGCCTCGAGAGGTCAAATCCTCACGATAACTATCCGCACACGAGAGCAACTTGTTGAGCTATAGCTGCCACGCGAGACGGTTAGCTCAGCAAGTTGCTCTCGTGTGCGGCGGGCTTAACAATACGTTAAGTTAATTTTCAATAGTTTTGGGGTTTTTGGGGGACACCCTGTAGAGCGTTTGCACTTATTCTCAAGGGACCAACTTGACAAAAGCCACGGCGGGGCTATGTTGGTGTTCCAGACAAAAGAGTCTAATTAAAATTATTTTGAATTGGAACACCAACATGGCGGCTGTGACGTCATGTGCAAACGCTCTATATAACTTAGCCTGCGAACAGGCTCTCAAGCTGAATTGAGAGCCTGCATCGATGACTAATGAATTTGAATATCTGCCCCGTAACGTTCGTTTTTCCAAATATGGAATGTCTATCCTTATATGGTGTTGTTTACGACTTTCGTGCAAACTAAATTTAGATCGTGCAAACTAAATTTAGACCGTACAGTTTGTACTGTTATTCGAAATATAAGATATTCAAGCAAAAGTTTAAATGTTTTACTGTCGTTCCAGTTGAAGTGTTGCTGAAATATTGATTCAATACATTACCTCGGGCTGACCAATTCATTTGATCAAGTTCCTCGAGATATTCATACACTTCCTAGTATAATTGTAAACTTCCTGTTGAATAGTTTGAATGCACCAATCACCTTTGTTGTTTGTGCAACGAACCAATCATAAATAGAAAGGAAGTGACCAGAAATGATCAAATACTTGGAATTGGCTCTTTCACAGGAAGTGTATGAATATTTCGAGGAACTTGATCAAATGAATTGGTCAGCCCGAGGTAATGTATTGAATCAATATTTCAGCAACACTTCAATTGGAACGACAGTAAATACTGTTTTCTCAAAACAGAACACTTCGTGCTTTGAGATATAATAAGATGGCCAAGACCAATTTGATCAGTTAATGTGTTTTTATGTGTTTTTTATGCATAGTGCTTCAGCAGTTGACATATATAGAGCTCAGCGGAAACATATAAATTTAGAATCTGCCCAATGAGAATTTCGCGTCACGATTTGAGACGCAGATATTCAAATTCATTAGTCATCGATGCAGGCTCTCAATTCAGCTTGAGAGCCTGTTCGCAGGCTATATATAACTAAGCAAGTGTATTTTATCGCAGAATTTTATAGTCAAATACTTATAAATTGTATAAATTAATGCTGATATGGACTTTGATGAAAAATAATATTAAAGATCAAACCTTGCATGCTGATACCGTAGTTGTTGTTATTCAAAACTATATTATAGGCATGATTGATTCAAGTCAATTAATTCACATCGAAAACACGTACACTGTACAGTTAGTATGAAGCGATGTAAAATCCACGAAGAAGTACAGCTCGAATGAAGCGATGTAAAATCCAAGGAAAAACACTACAATCTACAATCAAGACATGGTTTAATTTATAATAAGCCATGGTCACCGTGTAAATTAGTGCTTGGGCAAAGTTCTTTTACCAGACTAATTTAATTTATTCTTTACGTGACCCAAAAATCCACCCCAAAACAATTTCCGACTCCTCCAAATATATAAAAAAAAAACTAAAAAAAATTGAAAACCGTCAATAAACACAATTCCATGCACTCTGAGTGTGTTTATGGTTTTAATCTCAACACACTGGATTAAATCAACCAATTGTTGAAAACGACCAATACTGATTTAACAAATTGTGTGCCAAATACTTTCCCCTTGGCCTTGACGAGTAGCTTAAATTGTAAAATCGCCGGTATGCCATTATTGGTGCCCCTTGCCGCACTAGTGTCCTCGCCCCCTACCGAGACTGAAAGGATAAGGTTGTAGCTTAATCGGTTAAAGTGGTTCAAAGTATATTAGTACAAAACAATGTGTTAGTGCGAGCGTTTCAATGACGTTAACTTTTCAAACATTGGGGGTTTCAACCCCCTCTTAATTAATTATTTTGACACCCCCGGCCCCAATCCAAAAAACTGAAAGTAAAAACTTCTGATATAAGAATTAATGTTGTACAATGTACAACACTAATTCTCAACACTCAAACTAAAACTGGACGAGATTTTATTTACAGTACCAGTATTTACATGCAGAGATGCGTCATATTATACAACGGCTGACAACGAGGTACATACTATATAGGTAATTAGACTACAAACAAATAACAAAGAAAGACTCGATATTCTAGAACAAACACACTTATGCTTGGCAACATAGCACAGTCAGTTATGCACTTATAATTAGTAATGGTAGTATTCATGTCATGTGACGGGCCATGTGACCAAAATGGTCATGTGACCACGAACACGAGGGACAGTTATTTGGAACTTGGAGGTGTTTGAGAAAGGCTGTATATAGCAAGGTGTTACTATAAAATAGAGATTAAAAGTGTTATACTATATAGTGATAACCAAACTACTGGATCCGAGGCTTTCTAAATTGCTGTTTTTCTTCTATCACAATACAAACGTATGTATATCAATGCGCATATCCAACATGAAACCAATGCAGCGAAGAATATTAATTCTCCCACTTGTACTCTAATCTCTTCCGGGTGCAGTGGGTCTCGCTCGCCCAAATTGTACCCGCAGTTCCCTCACCGCAGCACGTACGTGATTTATGGACAAATTAGGGCTATTCTCCCAGAAAATTGTAATATTTTTGATGCTGCTTTTGATGTTGGGGGGAGAGCTTACGGGATGAAGCTAGAAATACGGTCAGCCAACATCATACCGATACTATTTTGTATGTTGGCTGGCCGTATTTCTAGCTTCACACCGTAAGCTCTCCCTCTCTCCTCCGCAGAGTCTGTTGGCTATGATTACGATCAGTATTGAGATACATTTCACTACACTTTACATGGCGGGTCTTGAAACACGAGCGGAGCCGCTGTGCGAAGGAGCGCAGGCGGGAAAGGGCAAAGGCGAGGGAAGGCGCGAATCCTAGCCAACTAAAGCCTCTGCGGAGGAGGGAGCCCCTCCCCCAAATACGGTAGGACTAGGTACGAATCAGTTAATAGTAAGCTTAAGGAGGCTCCCTACAGTAGCATGCGGGATGTTCGCTGGACCAGTACGTGGGCTATCCCACGCAACCGCGCACGATCAGAACAAAACAAAAATTGACCGGGCTCTTTTTTTAAACAAGCTATTTCTGAAAGGTTTTTAATGAAACAAAGCGTTGAATAATCCTTCGTTTTGAGTGCCAAATCAATTGCGAGTCTATACAGCAATTATGCATATGATACGAACATCAGTAGACCAAAAAACTAGCTGCGAAGGGCGCTTTCCATTTTATGGCCTGACCGGTCAGATCAGAATTTTTGTCTCTGTATCAATGGAAAGATCTGGTCTATGTTTCTCAAATATGTAGGGAAAATGGACCTCATTCTAATTTTACCTAAATTTTACATCAGATAGATCTGAAGCCCAAATGTTATGCGTTCATTCAACAATTTGACCGTTCTTACCAGTCTGGCCGTGTTAATGGAAAGCGCCCGAAGTCGAAGCAATGTTTTTTAATTTTTTTTTTTTAAATATACACTGTCAACTGTAAAACATTTGCTAAATTGTACACAAACTTTTAATAAACCTTTAAAAAGTCGTTTAGAAATACTTTCGTGTTTCTACAAGATTAAAGTGATTGCATGTGAACAGAAAAAAATATCACAGTTTTATACTCATAGCCTAATTGTTCATTTTTAGCAAAAGTGCAAAACCAAACAAAAAACACGTCCACCTGTTAGGCTGTTATAGCTCATAGATTGAGTAAACGGCAGGGTTCAATTAGCTTCAAGCTTTTGAAGGTTTTGTTTTTTCATCGATTTGATCCTTCACAATTTCCATGACTGTACATGGCACTCAAATAAATCGAAAAGTTGACAAAAACAAAAGAGTGAAAACAACATTGCCACGTAATCGATTTTGCTGGATGTGAGTGGATCACTATATAGTCAGCGACGCTTTTATATAAGGGGTATTTCTCGAGTTACACGAGGGTTTTTTACCACTTGAATTGCATTTTACTAATTATTTTCATCGGTAACCTATCCTCAAATTTTGACCACAAATTTTAAATTTAATAAATTTTATATATTTCAAATTTAAAAAAATTCTTTACAGTGGAAATCTTGTTATAAAATTTTCGCTTTTAAAAAAATCGCACTGTAAAGAATTTTATTAAATGTTCTCACACTCAATTGATATATGCAATAAAAGATTTATTTTTCAGATAAAAACAATTCTGTGGCTAAAACAAGCCGGTTTTATAGCTTCGCCATGTTGCCATGGCAACAGTGACATTGTCAAAACCGAGTTCTAAATATTCCACTGATGTTAGATATTGCCTCCAAGTAGAAACGAATGCACGATCTGCATTAATAGGTCTGCACTGCAGAGATGTTGGGCAAATAGGGACAACTGTAGGGAGCCACCTTAAGCAAGCGACGTTTTTGTCAACACGGACGTCACCCGAAAATTGGTATGACTAATTTTGGCTGCTTTTTGCAACATAGCGCTCGTGTAAGGAAGCAAATAACTCGCATTGCTATGGCATTGCTGATAACAGGATGACCACCTACGTGATCATCAATATGTGACCATCTATACGCGACCATCTACGTGACCATTAAACTGAAAACAATTATAAATTTAATTAAAGAAGCAATAATTATAAATGGTTTAGTGGCAATTTATTAATCAATTCCCGCTATGAAATTCATAAATAATAAATGCAGCATGCAGCATGCAAGCAAGCAACACCTTAATAAGGTAGGCTTACGCGCTGTGATTTGTCGTATACGATTACTGTGTACGATTCGTATTCTGGCGTATGAAAATTATTGCTGACGCAACCATTCCTCAATTCCAAGAATAGGTTAAAATTTGAAATCATGAAATGTAACTATTTACGCGTGCTTATTCGATTAGGGACGGACCATTTGATTTTTGATGGGGGGGTGGGTAGATTTTCAGTTTGCTCGATATTTTTTTCCCGCCTCCTGACACTGTTCGATTTTTTTTTGTCAGTCGGAGGACTTGCACGATATTTTTTTGTATGCATGTATATACATTTTTTAGTTTTTTGTTTTTACATTTTTTGGTATATAATAGGTAATTGGACAAGTACTGGTGTAAGACATTGTGTAGCCTAAATAATGAGAGGACCAGTATTCCAAAAATGGTTGTTCTTCATTTCTTTACTCCGACTCCTATGATGAACATGTACGTAAAAAAACTAGGGAAACTACGATTATATATACAAACTAAAGTAGGTGAAATTTTAATGGGACTCCATAAAAGGTGAGGATATAAGAGTGAGAGATTAAAATTGAGTAGGAAAGGCAACCCTACACGCGTTTCGACCTACCAGTCTTCTTCAGCTGGGTTTTTATAGAGGGGGGGGTATATATAATTTGCAGAGAAGAAGAAAGGAGAGTTTAGGAGTTCGGAAAATAATGTGAACTTGGATCCGCTACGTAGCAAAATCCACACCAGAAATAGCTATAGCTATCTATTGGACATATTGTATCATTCATTTACTAATCTCTGTTTTGGTTTTGTTATACTATGTACATGTTTTAGTTATTATTGTATATTAATATATTTTAAACAAAAATCAAACCTGCACGGTGTTATCATTATTTTTATCCCTTATGTATCACTAATTGCCAAACGCCCCTGTCCCTGTCTTATAAGCTCCTACACCACTAACACCATATTTGGATGCAATCACACCTATACAGTCACATGATCACCCTTATCACAATCATTCAAACTCACTATACCATTGAGTAAGTTAACCCTTAATTGAAGGATCTGCAAATTTGCTTCACCTCACCAATACGAACGATGAACAATAAAGTGCGTAGTGTTGGAATGTCCCGCAAACAACAAGGCCTTTGGTAGGATAACTTGACTAATAACATGTATAGTAGTTACATCCTTTCTAGCCTGCGAGCAGGCTCTCTGGGGAAAGAGAGCCTGCAAGGATCCCTTTGATGATTCGGTGCATGCGTCCAATATTTGGACGCAGTGCTCTGATTGGTTGATAACTGATTCATATGAAGTGATTGACAAGCTTCCATAAACTTGCACTTCCCGTTTGTAAAACCGAGCAACGCAAAGCTTCGGAATTGCGGCAATGTAGAGATAAAAGTGTCATGTATTTTGATCCTGGTTGACTTTTTACTGTAAATTAATATAGTATTCATATAAAGACGAATACTAAAAGCTTGCATGCTTTATTGTGTCCTTGGCTTGTCTGACTCCTAAGCGAAGAATAATTCTTGAGAAAGACTGCACAAATTCGCAAACCGAAACCTAGGGACAAGGCATTATATCGCTTCTCTTTTATGAAACAATATTGGGAATTCTGATAATATTCAGTGCATATTGTGTGTATTAAGCTTGTTTTACAATGTTATACTGACTATTTAATATTTATAAGTATGCGGCGTTAAAATGTACAGTAATTTACTCGTCACTTTGTTTACAATAATTATCACATGCATGTTTACTGCAATTCCACTTTTTGTTGCAAAATTTGAACTATAAACATATTATTAAATTATGTCCAATGTCCATGGTATATCATATATGTCTATGTCTCACCAAAGCCATAAATTTCAGTAAGTTATATTATTACTATATATATAGACTGTATACAGTGTATATTATATATTGCAGCACGAAGCAATTCCAAATAACTGAATTAGTTAGCGGGTAATATACAACTTTAAACTTACTGTGCCTACAGGAGAAACACATGCAGATTGTAATAAAAGTACAACTTGATATATTACTCTGTAAAACCTCGAGCCGTTTTAACTTTTTTAGTATGCCACAGTGGCGGTCTGTATACGAAACTATTACAGTAACGAATTTGAAACGAATCGGTTTATGTTTACAATATCGTAGTGTATTCCGGTCTGCGCTGATTGGTTGTTATTAATTGACCTGTGACATCATAATTGAAGGGCGGCACGCAATCATCATAGGGATCCTTGCAGGCTCTCTTTCCCCAGAGAGCCTGCTCGCAGGCTACATCCTTTCACCTTCGTTTTTGTACTGTGTAATTGGTTATTTTCAGTTATTTCGTAATAATAATAACTCCTTCCTTCTCCTCTTCAAATTCTCCTAAACTCTCCTTCCTTCTCCTCTCTGCTGAAGAAAACTGTTAGGTCGAAACGCATACCCCTGTACGCTATTCCAATACTCAATTTCAATCTCTCGCTGTTATATCCTCGCCTTTGATCGTGTCCCATAAAAATTTCACCTATTTTAGTTTCTACGGCCGTGATTTAATCGTAGTTTTCCTAGTTTTACGTACATGCTCATCATAGGAGTCGGAGTAAAGAAATAAAGAACAACCATTTTTGGAATTATACTGGTCCTCCCATTATTTAGGCTACAGTGCCGTAGCCCGTAGGAAGCTCTTTTTGATTGGGGGGGCTGAAAGCGAGGGCCGAAGGCCCGAGGAAATTTTTAAATTTAGAGTCTCTGAAATGCCATTTTCCTGGACCCTGCAGCCCGGCTACATGCGGAAATGCACCGAATGGCAAATAAGTATTACCACTCGAAAGTCTTGCTCGATATTTTTTTCCGTCCGTTTATTCTTGCACGATATTTTTTTTAAGTTCAAATTGCTTGCCCAATATTTTTTTTGGGATTCTACCCACCCCCCCATCAAAAATCAAATGGTCCGTCCCTTACATTCGCCAGAATACGAATCGTAATAATTGCTGCCGAAGGCAGCACCCTATTCTTGACAAGCGGTTGACACGCGGTGGTTTCTCCAGAGTCCACTCGACCCAGTCTTTCGCGCGATCTATGTATTGTCGAGATCTCGATTTGTGTCTGTCTGTCTGTAAAGATGATTTCCGGGAGGAATAATTAAGCTTCAGGAAGTTTTTTTAAACGAGGGGGGCGGTCAAACTTATTTTGTATTGTGCAAGCAGTTTTAAACTTTAAATTTTAATACGAGACCATAGGAGTTTATATGTTGGATTGCAAACGAATATCAAAGAATAAATCAGGTAAGAATGGCTTTATTTCTTTCTGGTGATATACATGAAAGCATTTAATATATTTAGATCTGCTGTTTAGCATTGGATACAGAGGTATTGAAACATATGATTTCATGATGTCAATAATGTCTTATTTTATATACAAGGAGTGAAAATGCACTTTGAGTTTAAGTTAATTGTTTGTGTGGCGATGTGCCAAGGCGATGAGTTTATAGTGTTCATTTTAGATGTTTATAGCAATGGTGCATTCAGCACGTTTTAAAAACAAACGCGGACTGTTATAACCTTGTGCACGTAATCAGGCTTTATATAATTATTGAATAAGATTCCTATAGCAACCCAGTGTGGGGATTGTTGTCTGTATATATTAACTTACCAGGCTACCAGCAGTTACATGCAAATAGCATGTCAACCGACTTTTGTACAAAGCCGGGTATCATGCATGCCTGATGGCCTGTTTATATCTCTGAGACATGTCCATTGTTAAAGATGCATTACAGTCCGTATGTAAACAAAGGCTTTGTTTACATTTCGGTATCCAAAATATAGAATTTTATTCGAGAACTATTTATTTTTCATGATTCTAGAGTATAATAAATTATCAAGACACAACAATCAAGCTTTGCAAGAACATACAACGAAATAAAACCTAAATAAACTGTTTGTATAAAAAAGAGGGCTCCTTTGTGCACATGCTCAGATCGGACTGTACAGCATCTTTAACATAATATGAAATAATCCTACCGACCTATAGTACTCATACATTCACCTGGCTGTGTCATGCAATACATTTGAGGGTATGCTATTTATTCTTGGGTTTCACTAAGGGGCCATTCACAAAGGATGTTCGGCCAAATGATGGATTTTCAGACCCCCCCTCCCCCCCCTTGTCCGGCATTGTCCGAATTAGTGACCCCCCCTCCCCCCGGACATCCACCATGCCTCGCAAAAACTCACACAACCTTGTATATGTCAAGAGTAAAAAACGTTTTTTACTTTTAGAACTTTTTTATAACTATAAATGTGAATACAAAAACATATAAATTACTAATTAAAACAAAATCTAGTGTTAACCGCAGAGTCAAAATGCCAATTTCACAATGAGAAGGACTGCTCAAAATAGAGGGAAAAAGAAATTTGTTTTTGAATTTTTTAAAATTTCGGACATCCGGATTGCTAAATCCCCCCCCTCCCCTCCTATGTCCGAGTTTGTCCTGATTTTCCAAACCCCCCTCCCCCCCTTGGCCCGGACATCCTTTGTGAATGGCCCCTAAGGCATTATGCAGACTGAATCTGACTGGGGGTCATTGGTCAACCTCAAATGTATTGATGCTTATGCTGTATTGGAGTGAGAAAATGATACGAAATTCCATGTATTGCCACCAAACACAAGGCTAATACATAAAACGAGCAATCGACTCACTCTGATAACTGACTGTTTTGTTTTTAAGTTGACCCCCCGTCACTTCTGTGACGTCATATGAAACCCAAGAATATTCTGCGATAATGCTCACAATTTCTTTCTTATTATATAGTTTTGCGGTTATGACTGAGTACAATCTCTGACTGAGTACAATGAATGGTGTCATCTGAAGCTGACATATTAATTAAAAATAGATTTTGTCTCCCCATCAGATTGTTCGGTTGATTTGCAATAGGGGTAGCCTTGAAGATGCCAATGTAAATAATAATTGGGAAAAACAGACTTAGTATTTCTACAGTGTGTCTCAAAAAAAAGTGAACCCTTTCAAATTCAAATTAGCTATAACGTATTGTAGTAATTTGACAGCAGTCTAATTGCATTGAATTAGTAGTTGGGTAAGAACACAAGGTATACTGTATTTCTTTTAAATTTTCTAATCTTTATTTCTTTGAGTTTTGTCCCATGAGTACAAGACCTTGTGTTCTTACCCAATCATTAATTCAAAGCAATTAGAGCTGTCAAATTTGAAAGGTTCACTTTTTTTGAGACACATTGTGTATATGATATTATACAGTATTCAGTGGCTAGCTAGCCATGGCAACTGGTATATTATAAACCTGCATATTTGGATAATGAAAATAATTACAAATTTGCATAGTTTATGACCTTTTGGTATGGCTAGCTTTGCCACAGACAGTATTGTATTATATATACAAAAACAAGAAATTATAAGCACTGAAGGTATTCATATAAAACTGCCCAATGCCAAGAAAGTAGAAATAGAATATTTAGCTGACCTTTGACTTTATGCAAGGTGTTTGATATTCAAGTTGCACTTTTCCTACCTCATGAACAGGTGTCTTAGGGGCTGTTTACTGTAAATATTGGAAGGCGGGGTGATTTTAATGTATTGAAATAAGTCAACAGAATTCAAATGTTGTAGTTCAAAAAGATTATTATTGCTCCTTGAACAACCTTTAGTTTACAGTTAACTATGTAGTTTTTTGTTGAATCGTGCACAGTAATTTATTTTACAAGTAATACGGCAAAGCAGGATCATATAAACTGACCCTTATTCAGCAAATTCTGCATGCTGCCTTTGATCCCTTGGGGGTGAGGCAGCACTTTCCTTGCGATAGTAACTTCTAGTTTATACACAAGCCTTGTAGTCGTAGAACATAGCCCATGCAACGACCGAATTTAAAGACATAACAAAATACATCATATTAAGAAGTTAAGTATATATTATGTTTATAACGTTGATATTTTTTAATTCGTTGATTTGCATCTCATAGTCTATAGACTAGTTTAATACTCAAAATCTGATGTATAAACGCCATTTTGTGATATAGCTATATAGGTTGAACAAATTGTGCTGCCGTAACTGAATGAAGGGCAAAGCAGTTCAACAAAGAGATATCAATTTAAAATGCTTACCTATTAAACCGTTAGATTCTTGTTGCTTCGAATGTTCCTTCGAAGACGGCATTTTCTCCTCGGCCGAATTTTGTAAGTCTGTCAACCGAAGAGAATGGCTGTCAATATTTAAAAAACATTAACGACTACAAACTAATGTTTATGGATATTACAAAAGTCAAATTTGTTTGAAAACAAATTCGAGACGTTTACCTTTACAACCTTTATAACTAAGAGTAAGACAGTTTTCCAACACAATGCTGGTGCCAACAATATATAAGCATATGTTATATCGCGTGTTCGCAACTATTAATTTATGCAAGTCAACAAAGACAATTATCTCACTCGACTTTTTGTCCTTAAAAAAATCTTATTAATTATTCATATCCATAGTCCCAATTATTTCAAGCAGCTGTCTTTTCGTATTGAAAACTTTACGAATTATGTTTTTAAAGAAAAAAAGTTGCAGTTTACAAAGATCAAAAACCTAAATATTATGTCATTGCACGGTCATGGCCTTGTATCTATTTGATCCATTGATATCAATGAAAAAAAACTCAATTTATTATCATTAGTCTGTTCCGGTGGCCACATTTCCCCTGTTTTCTAGAATTAGCTTTACGTATACATTAAATATTTAATGTATCCTGCCGTTTGCCGCGGTCTTAAAACAGTAATTTAGTAACTTTCAATCTTCAATCCCTGCTCCCCTCTCTGATTCCCTATACTCAAACTGGAAGATGTTTGAAAGAAAGGTTTATTTGTGAGAATCCTTTTAATGATGCAACTTAAATTACAAGATATTGCAACCGTGTATGGCCGCGCAGGTTCGATTCCTGCCAGACGGCCTATTTTCGCACCTGCTCGTGGTTAGGTCGAAAAATTGTATATAATCTCCCGCTCGAAATTTACTCCTCATCTACAAAAAAACCTTCAACTGGCGTTAAATACATCCTTCCCGAAAGTACTGCGATTATAAAGCCTGGTTTTCGTGATGGAAGCATTGGGCTTTATAATTAGAGCCCTTCTTATCTTGTCAAAGGTGACGATATACATTTATGAAATCATACAGTTATTTCAGATATAATACAAAAGACGTTTATATCTGGATTTTGGGCATCTCACTCGATAGAACTAAAATATAAAGGTTGATTGTTGAACGCTTTTGTATAAATGGAATTTCAAGTGTGCATTTTTCGAAGCTGTATAAAAAATTACGCTCGCAATTTCCAAAATCCTTCAACATTTAGTTCTATCGACTGAGATTCCAAAATTCCTGATCTGATGAGTGATGTTTACCCAATCGCACATATTTAAAAATTCAACATTACAAACTGCAACATTCAATTCAATATCATGAGTTACAACATTCTTTGTTTGCATGAAACAATTTCGCGAGGAGCGCCGATTGACAATATTGAGTTGTCACGCAATATTTTTTATATATCGTTGTTGAAGATTGAAAGTTGCGTCTAGCCAATTATAAATAAAGTTAATTAAATGTTGATAGTGAGATTACAAAAATTTAATAGTGTTTTGTTGAAAGTTGAAGAGTGGATATGAATGTTCAGTCTAGCTCAATGTTGAATGATTGTTGCATTGATTAGAAAAATGAAAGGTTTTGGCGGCGATGGAACACCATACTCTATACTGCCAGTTGCTTGAACATC